TATGGGCGTTGGGTTGCCCACTGATATTTTATGGGCGCCTGAATGAATACTAGGCGGGGTAATAGACCATATTTCATGGGCGTCTTCATCAATCCGGCACGGGGGATGGGGGTTGGGTTGGGCCCATCAATGCGGGCCATCAAGTTTTGGTGGGCCTCCGCCCGCGCCCTTCAACATGCGGTGGGCTCCTTACCTGGAGCGGGGGCGAACGGCAGGGTCGCCCCCGAGGAGGGCGGAGGGGGCAACTAGTATAGCAACGAGATAGAACCAGTAATCTATTGTTATATATAATCTAAGTTAATAAACTATATAAGTCTTAGGAGACGTACTATAGTCAATTTCCAGAGCCTATCTATAAAGGGCGAGGTCTTAGATACAAGCACTAGCCTTAGATATCGAGGCCTGTGCTAAAGGTTTAGCGCACTGTACTAAAAAGGTCGGCCTTTGCTAGATAGATTCCTCTTCCCTATTAAACCTGTTAAATACTACTACAAACTCCTATATATACGCCGCTTGCCTATAGTACTATCTAACCTGTTGAATACTACTATAAACGCCTATATACACACCGCTCGCCTATAACAGCTAGTAACAGCTGTGCTTAATGTTAGACTAGGTAAGAGAGTTTATTATAAGAAGGAGTTCTACCTGTTGAGCTAAGACTGCTCTATAGGGTTTGTGTAGGTGTCGAACACAGTAGAAGTGACCAAATTGATAAACAATAGCAGGAACCAACCTAGTAATGATTATGTTAGTTATAGGAAGCAGGAGAACTGAGGTAAGATAAGCTCCCCTTAGTCACATGACTCTTGGCATTGATGCCTCAGGCATCTATCTTAGCCTGCCTATCTGGACTGTACTGTTTAACACTACCTATTGTCTTAAGAAGAATCTACTTTAAACAACTATCGAACTTGCGACTAATAGTATAATATTACTTGTACTTATAATTAGAACAGTCCTTTATACTACTTTGTAATATAGAAGTAGTGCTTAATTTATTTTATAGCCTTATATTTAGCCTTATACATTCTTTAACTCCTGTCTTGTCTATTGTTTTCTTGCCTGTAGATATATTAAGATTCAGACACTATAACTATTATTAACTGCTTAGAAGAGTAGTAAAGTTGCTAGTCTTAGGCCGAGCCTATAAGGACACTACTGCTAATACTACAACCTAGAGTCACTCCGCCTGCTCTCTAAGGCCGTGTTACGGATCGAAGTTGAAGAGCGCAGCTTGGCGCAACCTCAGGCACCAAAGCTAGCGCTCATCCTTCGAGACACATGCGCGCAGCGAGCGCACCTCGCGACTTCAGCGACCAGCGCTCTTTGCGCCTACAGCGCTCTTCGCGCTCTTCTATTTGTATATAGGAACGATATTGTGCTTGTTACAATAGCGTTCAACTCACTGTTCAATCTTACTGTTTAGTTTATAATCCTACCTGAACCTCTGCCTCAAGATTATCTTAGTAGTCTATCGACTCTCTCCCTTCAACGAGCTCTAACTAAGGACTTGAGCTCAGCACCCGTGCTAAGTAAGATTCTAGGATTAACGAACCGATCCTAACATCTGTCTTTAGAACTATATCCTTACTTTGTATATGCCTGCATATATATCTTATATCCTTTAGCCTTTAGATATAAGCTGTTTTAGGCCTCTAAAGAGGGCATATAGTTCTTAGATTAAGAACAAGCTAAGGCTTAGCATTAACTATATTACGAAGGAGGAGTTTCTCCCTGCATTTTTTACAGCCCACTAGTAGATAATAACTGCTAAGACTATTATATCTGTTGGACAGTACAGTCTAGATGGGCAGGCTAAGACGGATGCCTGAGGCATTAATGCTAAGAGTTATGTGACTGAGGGGAGCTTACCTCTCCTTAGTTCTCCTGCTTCCTAAAACTAACTAACATAATCACAACTAGGTTAGTTCCTGCTATTGTTTATCAATTTAGTCACTTCTACTATGTTTAACACCTACACAAACCCTATAGAGTAGTCTCAGCTTAGCAGGTTATAAGCCCGGGTTAGCAGTCTAACTACTTTGAGGATTCTAGTAGTATAGGTTACTCCTACACCTATTAGACTTTAAAAGAGAAGTAGAAAAGGAAGGTAATATAAGTTAAAGCCCTGTGTAGTGTATCCCTAGAAGATAAGGACATATTTCAGCCCTAGAAGGACTTATTAAGGTTATAAGGATTGTGACTAATACCTAAGGTTATAGGCTCTTCTAAGAAGGTCTCAGTTTAGAGAAGGTATCCTTAGAAGGATAAGAGAAGTTATAAGGGAAGCAGATACCCTTATAAAACTGCTACTTAGTTATAGGCTCTTTAGAGCAGGGCTCTATTTAGAGAAGGTATCTAAACATACTGAACTACTAGCAGGCATTTCGCTTTAGAACTGGAAACTAGAAAGAGACTGTTTTTGTTTTATTTTAAGAAGAAATTATAGATTCAGATTAAGAAATGGTGAAGAGGCCTGTAGCTATCTTAAAGAGAGAGAATTAAAGAGACTGGTTTAATAACATGAGAGATTATCTCACTCTTAATAAGGCATTCTGGGTAATAGAAGATGATAAGTACACACTATTATCTACTATAGAGGGGGATAAGGCTATCCTATCTCTTACAAGATCCTAATATAACCCTACTTAGAAGAAGATAAATACAAAGGCTAAGTACTATATCAGGATATGCATCTGTGAAGATAATAGGGAATTAATAACCTTTAAAACTACAGCGAAGGGAATGTAGAATAAACTGAAGGATAAATACACAATAGCATATACAGCAGATATAATAGCACTTGTAGTTTAGTATGTTACCTACAGAATAGAGGAACAGGATATAATTCAGTATACCTAGTCCTATCTTATAAGTATTAGAAAGAGGATAGTAGAAGTAGATCTATCCTAAAGAGTCTATAAGGATCTAGAGACAAGGATAAAGTATCTGCTTAAAGCCTTACCTCTACAATACTAGAGCACTAGA